TTTTTTTTTTTTTTTTTTTTTTTTTTTTTTTTTGTATTAGCCGGATCTCATCTAATTTTGGGCATTATTTGCTCCGTAAAATTCTGTTTTGACTTTTCGTTACATTTTGTCGCTGTGTGTGATAACGTTCATCTCGCAAAGTAAGTAGCGGAATAACAAGGGGATTTTCAGCAAATTGTATTTGCTTTATTGTTTGTTTTTGGGGTAGCAACCAGTTATTTTGCGTACACTGAATGAGTTTTCAATACCTGGAAGTTATTTCTATCATATTTGATGACGTGTTTTTGACTGCTTGTACAAGTAGTAACTCCAGTTAGATTTTCCGACCCCCTGTGCCTCCGGTTTATAAAGGGCCAGCTTTAGTAAATAACGCTAATAACGAATGGCTCAGTGCATTGATATTTCTCTTTTTGATAAACAGGTTGCCTGAGCATGGAGCAATATCTGTGGCTGCTCTTTCTGAATTTGCTAAGAAGGATGGAACTCATGTAGCTTTAGACCACGAAGATACTTCTCAGGGGGCCATTCATTGTTTTCAGGTAACCAGTGGAATAATTTAGTAAACTTCTTGTGACGACTTTGTTACAGTCCGTTTGCTGTCATCTTTTTTATAATAATACTTTTGAACCGTTTTTCAGCGCCGTTAATGTATTTTTGTAAGATCAGGTTGTAGTTACTAGTAAACGGTGTAAATTCACCAGAAACTATCTTTTTGTAGATTTGTCAGAAGCATTACCAACTTTTTTGCCCTTTAAAATTTTTAGCTGTGTTAGCAGTTGCACCTATTTCAACTCATTTTTGTGACGGCTGGAATTAGATTTGTCTTAGTTTTCTGAGTACTTTTTGATATCTTTTTTTTAGGATGAAGAGGGAATATGGTGGGCTTATGCATTTGATTCGAAGGGTATTGGTACTGCTCATGTTATTAATTTCAGCAAATTATTGGAAGCCTTACAACCAGAAACGGTCTGTTAGTAAAACTTTATTGACTTGATGTGAAATATAATTTAATAAATAAACAGTCGGATTCAAATAGAGAAAAAAAATTTATGAATTATTTTTGGTTTATATTGGACTGTTTGACTGAGCTTTTACTCAGAATTATTAGTTTTTATTGTTAAGACATGCAGCAGATAGTTTTATCCATTTTTATCTAAAACAATGTTCTAAATCTTTTCAGAAGACGTCTGTGCCAGAAAACCGAAGCTTATCAATTTCTGAGGAGTCTGATAACGGTATGGCTTGTAGCACTGGAAGAGGCAGGATATCACATTTTACACGTACACATTCTAATTCTTCCTCAGCTGGAAGTGACCCATATATCGCAGAGGTACCGTCTAGCGTGTTTCATGCAGCAGGTGCAGCCTCTCTTACACGAGATCTGGATGTGTCTAGGTAATTTCATGTATTTCTTTTGCTTTAGATGTTTTCTTTTCTTCTGAATTTTTATCTTGCACTTCTGGAAAAGTTTGGTATGAAGAGTTTGTTTTTCTTTGGCAAACTTTTTCTTAGGAAATATTCTTTAAGTGGTGTTTGTTTATTTTTGAGGGGCAGTAATTGTCAATCTATCTCGCGTAGTTTAAGCAATCTTATAATCACTGTTAAATTATTTTAAACTTTTACAATATTTTAGACGTGTTATTTCCTTATTTGCACACCGCGACGTTTTGCCCTTTCGACATTCTCGTAATTTGTCGGATCATGGAGGAGTTTCTGCTGGAGGTCAAGATTAAAAAATTTAGGTTTCAATACGCTTAAAGGTTTTTGAAGAACAGCAGTGGCTTGGAGAAGTTATCCTCTGGCCAAAGCAAGAGCATTTGCAAAATCCCTTTCAAAAGGAAAGTGGAATTTTAAAAATTCGATTGCAGTTTCCTTCTCTAATCGTCATTCTGCTCGATTAAACAGTGATGGCCAAGCTACTCGTGTACCACGACGTTCAGGCGCTTTACGTATGAATAGGTTGACCGCTCGAAATGAGACGGATGTTCCGGCGACAGTCAGGGTCGCTTTTTTCCCCGAAAGCAGTTCTCTTGGTAGTGTCGGTGTTGGAAGATCACATCGTACTACATCCAACAAAAAAACATATTACCGTTTAAATATGTTCTCTTCTAAACTAAAGAATGTGAAAATACAGGTAACATTATCATCATTCGTTCTTACATTTATTTTTTTACCGGTGTACTTGTATTGTTTCAAAGTATTAAAGTCAGAACCTAAAGTTTGTAGCGATGTGTTGTTTTTTAGAAATGTTTTATTACTGTAGCTTTGGTGACTCTCCTTTATTAGTAGTTTTTTCTTTATAGGTAGATCGATTGTCTGTTGCGGCCTTGTTTGACAGAAATAATTCGTTGTTTTCATCTTTATTTGATGTCACTTTTGCTGCTGTTTTGTCTATATTAGCTGGAGTACTCTTATCCCGATCTTTGTTTCATGATTTTTCTCTCTTTGGTTTCGCGGGTGTGGTTGCTGGCGCTCAGGTAAAGCGACTTATCTGATAATGTTTTTTACATTTAATTTTTATTGTTAGCTAACAGTGACATTTTAGTTTTCACTTCTGAAGAGCGTGCAACCTGACGCTGCTTCTCCTATACATGGGTTTAATTGGCTTGCAGCTTATTCGCGGCCAACATTTTTTTGTATATATGGCATATTATTGTTAATAATAGATATTCTTTGTCACCATTTCAATGTTGAATACCAAGCTGTTGGTTGGATATGGAATTCTTGTTACTCGAAGATCTTATTTTTGCAAACCGTGACACTTTTACTACGGGATGTTTTTACTGTATTGTTATTGCTCCTGCCAATCGCTTTCACAGTTGGTTTGTATCCGCAGGTAAAACCCAGTACTTTTCTTTGCTCATCTCATTTTATTTTAGTTGTGTAATAAGCACTTATTTGCCTTTTACCCAGGTGTATTCTTCGTGATAAAACAGTGTACATTTTTTCTTGGTCTAAGTCTTGCTATGATTTTAAGGTTAATACCTTACTTCTTCATTTAATGGAGCAAATTGAAATGTATGCGTTTGGTGGCACAGCTTGTTTTTCCCTTATCTCTGCATTTCTACAGCTTGGCAAAAGCATTGTTTCTTACGCGGCATTAGCTATTTTGGCACAAATTGCATACAAGTCGGACCCGAAAGGTACTCAGAACGTCTTTTTTGCAATATTTGCTGCGGCTGTTGCATCTTTGTCTTGGTTGCTGTCGAGGTTAGTTTTTTACTGTTTTTTTTGATTCTGACTGGCGAAGTTGGTGTTAAGTAATTGATTTTTAAGCTTAGTTATGAATAAGCTGATTAAGGTGGTCGAGCAATCCAATGATGATGGCTCTTGGATTGCGTTCGGTTATGGACTTTTCATCCGTTCCATTTCTACGTGATTTTTTTCAATGTGTAAGAGTGGAGGGAGCTAGGTCTGCTAGCAGTGAAGATGAAAAAAGCAGCCAGTCCCCGTTACCTCTTAAGGATCCTCTTCCTTCAGTACTTAGGAATGTTGTTTCACGAAGACTTCGAGTCGATATTTGTGTTGCTATTTTAGCTTTCCTGTTGCTGTTTGCTCTTCACTGTTCGTCTGTTTTCAAAGTTGCTCAACCTTCCCTTCACGTAAGTCAAACAACTGTTTAGTTCATAATTATTTGAAAGGAAATTTTTTTGAATAATTAATTTTTACGTTCAACTCGTTGTTGTTTTTCCGGTAGTTAATTACGTAATATGAGTCAGTGTTTATAGTAAATTGTTTTAAACTAAATTGGTGTAGGATAATCACTCAAATCTGGCAAGTATGTTTGCTGTTTTATTCGTTCTTGTGAAACATGTTCATTTTCTGACATGATGACAATCTTCCTTATTTTCAAGAATTTTATACTGCGAATTGACTTTACTTCTAACTAAAGGAATTATCGGCTGCTTTTTTACTTTAAAATGAGAGAAAGTGCAGTTATTGTACTGTTGAATAGTTATTTTTTTCATTTTGCGGTTTCTTATTATTTATCTGCGAAAGTACTGTCGTCATCTTTGAAAATATCCAAAACTTTTGCTATGAATTAGAAAAATTAACCGTTTATGAATTTTACTTTAGCCCTTGCTTTGTCTAGGCGGACATGAACCATGCAGATGAAGTTTTTCAGATTTGTCTTTGTATACAATGTATACTGATTGGAGTTTTCAATCATTATTTGTACAATCAGATGCGTCGGACTTACCCGTGGAAATTTTTTTCTAAACCTATCTTACGAGCGTATGAGTACTCTCTATTCGAAGCTGTGGATGGGGCAAAATTGATGCCCTTCGAGATTATTCATTTTTATTGCCTTATTTTAGAAAAGAGCGTAGTGAGTTTCGAAATCTTCTGTTCTTAAATTTAATTTTTAACCTGTTGAGTGCTTATTTTCTTGCTGTTCATTTTTTTCAAGCTGCTGCTAAATTATTTAATTACTGAATTCATAAATTACTGTTATCATTTTTTGCCTCTGAAGTCAATCATTATTTTTTCATTAAATTTCTTTTAGCTTTACCCCCTATTTGTTGTCAGTACAATTTCGATAAACAACTGGAGCTTGCCTCCTTGGTTCTTGGCTTTATTTGCAATGCGCGTATTACGTACCGCTTTTTGTCAGCCGCAAATGTTGTATATTCCTCTCGCCTTTTCATATCTAATTTTGTACTCTGACCTATCAGCGTATAAAAATATTGAAAACTTCTTCCCTTTAATTCTTTATGTGGCAACGACTCTTTGGCCTAAAGTTGTAGAGTTATACCAGAAGATGAGTTTTATTGCTATTTACACTGCACCGTGGCAGATCAGGTACTATTTGTTTAAAAAAATATTTCAACTTAAGTACCGTTTTTAATTCTCACTTTTTTTAAACTTTTGCTTAAGTCTAAATTTTCTTTAAATTTTTAGCTGGGGTTCAGCATTTCACGCTTTCGCGCAGCCATTCAGTCTTCCACACACCGCCCTTGTAATCTTTCAAACAGTTTTATCTTCAGTCTTATCTGCACCTATAAACCCTTTTTTAGGCAAGTTTTACTTGAGGATTTTTAAAATACTTCCCCACATAAACGGTCTCGGTCTTCGTTAGTTTGTCTTTTTGAAAAATCCGTTGTTTCAAACATTTTTATGTTTATTTTATGTTTATTTTATGTTTTTTTCAAACATTTTTATGTTTTATGAAGCCAGTTTTTACAGGGTCTTCATTTGTGCTAATGTCATATGTCCGTCCAGTGAAATTTTGGGAAAAAGATTATAACACGAAACGAATAGATCATTCAAATACAAGGCTTATTTCTCAGATTAATCGCGGCCCAATGCTTGATGACAGCAATTTGAATGCTGTCTTTTACGAACATCTGACACGTTCTTTGCAAACTTCCCTGGCTGGGGACCTAAGTTTAGGTCGGTGGTGTACTTCTGTTGTCCCTGGTGATTGCTTTATATTAGCGAGGCAAGTTTTTAAACCTCTCAGTTTCAAGACTTTGTTTTTTTTTATTGCTTATCATTAATTATTTTTTCAGTTATTACTTAAACTGTATGGTTCACATTATTGAAGTAGGAAATGGCTTTGTAACCTTTCAAGTGCGCGGCTTAGAGTTCCGGGGAACGTACTGCCACCAACGCGAGGTAGCCTGTAAAAAGATTATTTTTAATATTTCTGCAGTTTGTTTGACGGATTGTCTTAGGACTGTGAGCTAATCGGAATGGAATTGAGCTACATCATTTCCTACACAAAGTTGCCAACATTTTAGTGATTGTAAAATATCACTGCGTTAATGCATAATAGCATGTATCAGAAGGGCTATTAAGCTGTTCGCATTTTAGGGTTTTCCGCGCGCAAACCTGGTCCAATCTTACCCATAAATATTTTTAACATGAATTACATTTATTCTTTTTTTTGTCTTCAGCTATTCTTTTTCTTGTTTCATAGTTTACATATAACTTTGTAACAACTGCACGGGAGAAACTGGTTAATGGTTGCTCAGTAACATTTTGTTTTATTATCTCACTGATCGTCTGAGGTGCTATCTGACATTAAAGCTTTATGTCCGGCGAATGGAGAATGCCATGCAATTTTCGTATTCGTTCGTATTTCATGAAAAATAGTGAGAGAACATGAAAAGATGAAAATTTAGTATAATCACGTAAGGAACTGGACAGAATGTGTTGGATTCTGTAGCAAGCATGCTCTTTTTATTATCCGAGTAACATCAATCCATTAAGGATTTGGAGGTTAGAGGGAACGAAAAATGATGTTGGCAGGAAAAAGACGTGTAGAATCATGTACAGTATATCACTTCATACTGATAGGTTTTCTATTACGTGTATATAGTCAAAGAGACCATGCATATGACGATTTTTTTAGGTAGAGGCAATCACTGAAGATGTCAATGACGGAAACGGTTGTTGCTGCTGCTCTTGTAGTTCTTTACCTGGTTTGCTTTCGTTCAATACGGCTTGGCTTTTAAGATGGTTGTCATGGGAAATAGTGACTACCAAATACATTATTGATGGTTATTCAATCACTGACAATTCTGCTGTTAACCTCCTCCAGGTTTTCTTTCTCTGTTTCTTATTTTTTACTGCTCGTCTGAAAATGCTTCTTTTTCTTTACGCGATATAATTTTTTGCATTTTTTCCTTTTCTTTTTTGTTCTTTTATCAGCATATTGCTGCTAATTAACCTAGCGAATTGCTTATGTATTGGCCCGTAATAATTAACGGAAGAGAACTGAATGATGTAGAGTTGCTTGGTAGACGTTGTTTTAAGAAGTTAATCTTTCCTGAATTCCTAAGTCTATTTTTTTCAACGTATCGCTTGAGATTAACTTTACATTTAGGTTCATGATTTGCGACGTCTCTTAGTAACTTTGTATGTAAAATGCATTATCTACTACGCCTTATCGTCTCAGAAACTCGGGGAGTGGTTACGTGCGCCTGTTGTGGTGGGTGATCTCTAAATACTAAATTTAGGTTGTAAAGAACGTTTTTTTAATACAATTCTTCTTCCTTCTATAAGATTTTAGTAAATGCTGCTCGTAAGTAGCTTATGAAACAGGTAATGCTGTACTTTTTCTTTCTTTTTATTATTCATTCATTCGTAATATTTTTTAAGCAGTCAGCGCTTTCTGCTATTGAAGCAAAATTAAGTTACGTTGACGTTGATCCTGCTTTTTGTGCTGCAAATGATGAAGACTTTGACATCAATCAGCTGGTATCATTTTCGCTCTATACCAAGTTGACCATAATAGCTTTTCTTCGTAAGGATGATTTTTAATCCCATGATTTTTTTGCTTTTAGGGCGTTTCGCGGCACAATTTTATTGTTCTTTACGATCCATGGATCAAACATTGCTTACGTAGGAGAGCGTTGTCTAAGACTTCTGTGTAAGGCGAAATACTTGATTTTTTAGGACCTCAAACTTATAAAGTTACTAAGCCAGTTTCCTTAATCTGCTTTAGTGTTACTTTTAAAATCATTCTCCTTCTGATTTTATTTAAGTGACAGTGAGGAAAATGGGATACGCAGAATTTCTGTGTTTTGCTTTGCATTGTCGTTGGTTGGACGCCGAGCACTTGCTAGTGCATCTCATAATCGTCATGCAAACGCTGCCGAATCGTTTTTATATGGTTTACATGCACTTTTTAAAGGCGACTTCAGGCAATTGTTTACCTTTTTGCAAAAACTTTTTGTTTTGATCTCAACATGACTTTTCAACCGTAAGTCCACTGAAGGATTACTAGTCAACGTGACGAATGGGTTTTTGTTGATATGGATCTTCTGAGGAATGTGCTTTCGCCAGCTGTTCGTATGGCTTTGAAATTGCATCAGGATCATTTTGCTGCAGATGATGACTTTGATGATCCTAGTCTACTTTACAACCGTATTAATGAACACCTCCCGCGGCTCTTTATTTCTCACGAGGTTTTTTCAAAGTTTTTTCTTCTTAAAAAAAATAGATTGAATTTTATTATTCTTAACTGAGAGTTAATTTTCGATTAAATCTTAGGATGATCCCGACTGGAGACGTGCAATAATAGCAAACACACCCTCTTTATTAGCATTGCGACACATGTTTGATGACGGTCAGGACGATTATAAAATTATTATGCTTAACAAAATGCATCTGAATTTAAGGCAAGTTAGTTACTTCAAAAAACCGCTTTTACTTCTATGTATTAAATTATCTTTAGTCACGACTTTGGCACTCTCTGTTTTTACTTCTATTCTTCTCATTTCAGGGTTATTAAACTGAATAAAGAATGCGTTAGAGCTTTTTGGGCAGGGCAGCAGCAAGAACTGATATTTTTAAGGAATCGGAATCCAGAGAGAGGTTCTATACAGAATGCTCGACAAGTTTTGAGGTTTTATTACTCTGTTTTGTTACAGAATCAGAAAAAAACTTTTGCTAATTGCTTTTTTTTTCAGCTTTTACACATGACTAGGTGGAAAAGGTGTATCAGACTCTCTCTTTTTCTGGAAATTTTTTAGTTGCCTTTTTGATGGAAATTGAATATGCAAGATTTATAGGAATATGATTAACAGCAGCGCAGATCAGCCAATTGGATATCCAATATACGTATCCCCATTAACAACATCTTACGTGAACACGCATCCACAAGTTCAAAAACTAACTGGACCCTCTATTACTGCAGACCGTATATTTCAGAATCTTCACTCTCTTTGGGTTACATTTAGATCTCATATTGGAAGTAACAGAAGCACTAATATGCAATCATTCAATCAGGTCTGGATCAGCACTGTTTTTTTTTTGAAACATCTTATCAATTTACAGCTCTTTGGAACGTCAGTAAACGTAGCTTTTGCTTTTCAGTGCTGACCGATAGTTGTTTCTTCTCTTTTAGTCGGTCGCAGGCTCATTGCTTCAAAAACCTCAAATACTTTCTGCTTGAAGTGGTTTATAAAACTCTAGCTTATCTAGTTTCTTTTTTTTTGCTCTATCGTTTATTATATAATTTAGTAAGCCAACAAAATTTTATTCTATAGTAGGCCTCGTAGCCTTTGAAAATGATTAAATAAGTTATCCGAGCGGATGCCGCTTTGATTGGTTTCATCTTTTAAATTGTAATAGCGGCATGGAGGTACCAGTTACCGTTTATTCCTGCTCATTACTAACGATTTTAATTACAAGAGTGTTTTTCGGAGGATTTAAAACGAGTTTAAACTGCGTATTACTCATATATTGTAGCGGACGAATACCATAGACTTTTGGTAAATTGGTCATCAGTTTACGTTACAAAC